ATATTTTATTTACATATTAGGCAAACAGATACACATCACTTATTATATGCTGTGTTCTGTCTTAGGTGCTGGGAAAATGTTAACTCACAAGCAACCCCATGTTGTTTGTTATTTCTATCATTATTAATCATTAATCTTATCTGAATTTAACTGATAAGGGATCTGAGGCACAGAGAGGTTAAGAAACTTGCCCATGTCACACAGCTCCTGAGTGGCAGAGTCGGACCATGAAACAAGGCAGTCTGGCTCCAAACCTTCTCATTTGTAGAATGTTCTTTCTTCACAGAGAGTCTCATGGAGAAATTCAGTGTGTGAGAGAACAAAGCAGAACTGCTTTGGTTCAAGTTGAGATGGCAAAGCCCTGTCTGCTTCGCACCGCCCCTTCCTCTGGGGGTCCTGTTTGCAAAGCCCTGATCCAGGAAATAACACCTCTTGGCATGATGCCACTTATAAGCTGTCTTCAATCCACTCTAGCATAAAACAAATACAATTCTTTTCTCACTTTAATTAACTGATTGTGTTTTATTTTGAAAATTTTATCTGCCTAATCTGCTTCTGGCAGAAATGAAATGCTAAGATGGATTTTCCCCAGGATGGTAAAGCCATATGGCAATTTGGACTTTGCTGGCTTAAGTTCCCCTCGGGTTTCTTTATACAAATCAAGGACTGTGATCACAAAAATTTCCTGAATCAAAGAGAGAAATGGAATTTGATTTCGTTTGAATACAGTTGGGTATAAACTTTGCAACCAGATAGGCATAAACCGCCCCCTCTGTTACAGGCTGCGTGTCTTCTGTGGTTATTAATAATACAAAATAATAGAGTGACAGTATTAACCATTACTGTCCATTGAGTGCCTGCTGCAACCAAAGAACAAAAACAAAAACAAAAACCCTAAGTTTTACAATTCTAGATGTTTTATCCCTATTTTACAGATATGGGTAAGTTGAGGCTAAAATCTTACGTTAACTTGTTTAAGATGGCCAAACCAGTGAGTAGAAGAGATGCGATGTTTTGAGAAATACAAGTGATTAAGGAGCAGATTTTCTTGATATTAAGCATAAAAGGCACAGAAGAGAAAATGTTTAGGAAATATAACGTGGGTCCCCAGGTGATTTTCAAATTATGAAAGACTGTGAGAATGCATTCTGGAGGTGATTCATTCCTGTGCTGAAATGTCTCTTACCATTTGTTAATGTATATGGTGTGTAACATACTAAAAAGAAAAAAAAAAGCAAATCAATCAAATGGGCATGGGTGGGGTGGGTGGGGGGGATGGAACTGGAGAACCAAACAGAATTCAGACTAAATTGATTGTTTTCCTCGCCTCTTTTTACCCCCAGATTTTGCTCCCACTCTCTGCCACCCCCTAACCCAAGGGTCAGCAAACTTTTTCTGTAAAGGGCTAGATAGTAAAATATTTGAGACATAGCTTGCTACGTATTTTCTCTGCCGCAGCCTCTCAACTCTGCTGTTCCAAAGCAAAAGCGGCACAAACGGATGTAAATGAGTGGCTCTGGTTATTGTAGAGCCAACCTTCATGTAGGAGCATGAAATGTGAACTTCATGTAGTTTTCATGCAGTGTGTGTTTTGATTTTGGTTTTGTGGATGTGTGCACACGTTCATGCTGGACCATTAAAAATCGTTAGAAACATTGTTAGTTCACAGGCTGTGCACATAGGTGGGTAGCCAGATGGGGCTCCTGTGGTTTGCTGGACCACCACTCAAGCTTGACCGTCCCCCTCTGGTTTTCAGGCACATAGCTTCTTGTCTCTATGGGTGTTTCTTTTATTCGGGATTACATTTAAATGCTGTTTGGGACCAAGGACTTCATCCCTGAAGAGACTTCCTAGGACCAAGTAGCAGAGACACATGCAGGCACATTTTATAAAAGCAGACTTGCTGAATTGCAGCTGCCATGTTGACTGCAGGCAACACAAAGAGAAGCCATTGTGGCTGTCTAGAAGGATTTATAATAAAATGGAAAATTCTTGGCGTCCTCTGTCAATTTCATTGAAGATTAAAAGATAAATGCAGGACTTAGAGTTATCCCAGTAGCTATCTAGTTTTAAAGTGATGTTAGCAAATATGAAAATTCTTTGCATGTTTTACCAGCCCAGGTCATTGCTAAATTTTATTTATTTATTTATTTTTTCTCACTAGGGAAGCCAGCTTTAATGTGATACAAACACCCTTGAACTTGTCCTAAAGACAAAGGCTTAAGTTTCAGCTCTGTTAGTTTTGCGGTGACATTGGGTAAGTTACCACCCATGGGAGTCCTGGCTGGCTTCCTTATCAGTAAGATGAGACGGATAACCCTACCTCACAGGGCTTTTCATTTTATTTATTTTATTTTTTCATTTCTTTACTATTTGTTACAGAAATTTCAAACAGAGCCAAAATAGACAGGAGTCTTGTGAACCCTGCGTGCCCTTGTTCCGCTTCAATGATTCCCTGCATTTCACTAAAGTTCTTTCATCTTTATCCCACCGCATTTTTTTCTCTCTGCTAGAACATTCTATAGTAATTCCAAATGTAATATTTCACTGTGCATGACTAAGGGAGAAGCTCTTTCTAAAGAATATCGTGATTCTAATATCATACCCAGTGAAATTACAATAATTCTTTAACATCATTTGTTACCGAGTCAGATTTAAAGTTTCCCCAGCTGTCTCAACAATGTCTTTATATAACTGGCTTATTTGAATCAAGAGCCAAAGAAGTTTTCTCTCTTCCATTTGGTCATGTTTCTTAAGACCCTTCATTTATGGCAATTTTCCTTCTCTTCTTCCCATCTTTCTTCATGTCATTTGTGGAAGGAACTAGTTATTTGTCCCACAGATGTCACATAATTTGGAAGTGGCTAATTGCATCCTTCACCCTTGTAGAGTCCTTGAACATTTTCCTCTTGTTCAGATACTTAACCATCCTTGGATACAGAGGCTTGATGAGGTTCAAGTTCACTTCTTCTTCTTTTTTAAAGCAAACTTTGTAGGTGATGCTTTCTACTTGTAGTTGTACCACACCTAGAGGACAAAATGTCTGGGCGTCTCTTTCTACTTGTGTCAGCATTGATTAGTGAGGTTCCCCAGGTTAGTGCATTCTGCATCAACCTCTCACCTAGTGATTTTAGCCCTGGTTGATGACTATTGTTCAGATCCATTACCTCATAAGTGGTTGCAAAATGTACATCTTCCATCAATCCACTTGGATTTATTAGCAAGAATTCTTTAGAAAGAAGAATCAACTGTCTGGTCACCATGAAATATAATACACACAAGAAAGGCAAGACAAATGCTTGTTGGTGACCCCTCACTCCCTTTTTTGAGCTCATGTTCATATAATGGTGGCCTCTTTCCATTGAGTTGGATGATGATGGTTGCTGGTGGTGGTGGTTTTTCTCCTTCACTGTGACATCAGTAATTTCAAAAGCCTTTATATTTTTCAATCCTTCACAGTCATTTCTCTGTCAGGTTGGTTTTTGTGTCTTATCTTAGTAGTATTTGATCACTTTTTGCCTTCTGGCAGAACAAGATATCTCGAGCTTACCTTGTACATTTCTTGTCCTGGACCTAAATCACTCAAGAAGCCGTGGTTTCCTTTTAATAGAAAATGGTATACTGCGACCACAGTCTGGACACTGAGAGCATAACTTGCTTATATTTCTAAATTTTTGAGTTGCTGAACCTAGAATATGCATTTTTAAGGAAAGATGAATAATTATTTTCTACTCGTCATTTCAGTTTGAATTATAAGGTTTTTACAGAATATTTTTTGTTCTAACTGTAAGGACTTTTTCTTTATGTTCAGAATCTTGGTTCTTAATGATGTTAAGACAGTGGCTTTATTCTAGATCATGCATTTCTGTGGGTGCGTGCATGTGTATGCACGTACACATATGATAGTTTCGAAGTAGCCACATCACTCTTTCCATATTACTATAATACTAACAATATTATTAGTGAGTATAGTTTACGGTTGTTTTACAATTCTTTTTGTTCCTAGGGCATAGCACACCTGGGATAAGTAGTCCCTGGCATGTGTTTTAAAGTCACATTAAATAATTCAACTTGGTGTACAGATACAGTCATTTGTTTTATTTTTTATCTTGAAGAATTCCATTTTTTCTTTTTAATTTAATTTAATTTTATAATGAGGTAAAATAATTACATTGTTCAGTGTCAAAACTTAGATCACAGATTTTCCCCTTCTATCCACATGTCTCTTCTTTTAGAAATTACGATGCTATAGATCCTTTATAAATACTTTGCTGTACCATTTTTTTTAATTGAATAATGCATCCTAGAGAAGATATTTAACCAGTCATCTTTTTGTGGGTATTTTGTCTTTTCCCAACATTTTTCTATTACAAATAATTCTCCAGTAAGTGACCTTTATAGGATATTGAGAGTTAGATGAAGTGATATATATATATATATATTTGTTTATATATGTATATATGTGATGTGTACATATGATTTTGTTATAATATGTTGTTTTAGTTCCACAATCATTTATTAAGCACTTATGGTGTGCTGGAATATAAAGAGGAATAAAATGTGATCCCTGGCCTTGAGGTTTTACAGTCCAATATGATGTGGAATAAAAAACATTTTATGTGTTTCCTTCTCAGATAATTTGATTTTTATGCTTCTAATCAATGAATGCTCGTACTGTTTTTATATTAAATTATATCTTTATATATTTTATATTAATATTAACATATTAATATTATTAATAAATTATTAATTGTATTATATTATTGTATTATTTATATTATTCTTAATAAAATATTAATATGTGTTAATATTTTATATTAAATTAATTCCTTTATTTATGAACTATACAGCTGTCAATAATTTATAATATTTCTACTATTTTAATTGCAGTGCTAATACAGACTTCTTTTAGTTTATGAGCTTATTTTAGTTTATTTTAGTTCTTTTGGTTATCATATCATCAAAAAGAAGTTTTTTCTAACCCATTTATGTTTCCCCAGAGCCAGAATTCACAATGACAACGGTAACAAGGACCACAGAAGTCCCCCCAAGGGGTAAAAGAGAAGATAATTCTGCCTTGTATGAGTCCACATCAGCTCACGTTATTGAAGAAACTGAATATGTGAAAAAGGTATGCAGGTGCATGGGATCATATTAGTGTGATATGATTTTTTGAAATGCAATCTAATATGGATCCGTGGGCTTTGTTTCTCCCTCCATAGAACCTATGAGGTACATTTGGCAAAGGACAATCCCAATAGCTGAAATTTCAACACGTGTTTAGTAACTTCTCTTGAGGACACGAACCTTTGTTCCCCCACGTGGAGTAAACTTGAATAATGGGCGAGAAAGGTTCAGAACACCTGTCAGCACTTAATTTTCCCCACAACATTCACCACTGCACTTCCTACCATTTTATATCATTTCTCAGTTGTTTCATGAGTGTTGATACTGTGTTCCCAAGTAGATGTTTACGAGTCTCGCTGAGTTTCTGTCTCTCCTTAGCCACTTCGTTTTCACAGTTCTGGGTTGCTCTCCCCAGTGACCCATGGTGGCATGATACTTCATTAAAAATGTGAAATCTTATGAGAATCCAGGGATAATGGCTGACAAAAGTATATATTCTTAGGAACTGTTTCTTAGAACAGAGGGAAGCATTTGGACAGAGATAGTTGGTAACTTATTCTGATCAATTAATTCATCTTTTTGAGTGTTTTGCAATTCTAGAGGTCAGTAAGACATGGGGCTTATATTTCCTGCATAAATTTGTATCATCTCCTCTTAGCAATTATTCTATAGTAATTACTAAATAGTAATTATTCTCTAGTAATTACTAGCTAGTAATTATTCTCTAGTGATTACTAGCTAGTAATTATTTTGTAGTGATTACTAAATAGTAATTGTTTTATAGTAATTACTAAATAGTAAATTAGTACTAAATTACTACATAGGAAAAATAGAATTAAGTAGTATTAAATACTAATTACTAAGTGGTAATTATTTTCTAGTATAATATTCACTTAGGTTATATTTTGGGTTTGACTGAGAAAGAATTATAAAGACCAAATGTTCATTTTCTGCAATCTAAACGATATTAGCCCAAATCCAACTCGGGTTGATGGCAGTTATTTAAATCTGAGATCAGTATTTATGTATTACTTTCCAGATAAATCAGGTATACGATAGCTTATATAAAGAAAAAAAGTATTCGGCATTAAATGCCTTTGAAAAAAAATAAAATATTTTTTTCTTCTAGATCCGAGCTACTCTGGAAAAGATCCGAAACCAAGTTTTTAAAGATGAAGTAGGACATAAGCGTACAAATGACAAACTAGAAACAAAGGTAATAAATTGATCAAAATGTACCACTTTCTTCCTTCATTAAATAAACATAATACAGTATAAACCTTATTTTAATAACTTTTCTAAGATATAATTATTAAATTATCCTTTGAAGCTTTGAATGATGAATGTTAAATATTTTGTCAGTATCTAAAGATGTTAATGGGCATATGTATGAAATATTTAACCACAGATGTTATTAGTAGGCTCAGATTGGAATGAATAGACCCTACTTGAATATTTTATTTTAATTTTTTTTAAGATTTTATTTACTTATTTGAGAGAGAGAGAGAGATCACAGGTAGGCAGAGAGGCAGGCAGAGAGAGAGGGGGAAGCAGACTCCCTGCTGAGCAGAGAGCCCGACACAGGTCTCAATCCCAGGACCCTGAGATCAAGACCTGAGCCGAAGGCAGAGGCTTAACCCACTGAGCCACCCAGGTGACTCAAGACCCTACTTGAATATTTTCTTACTTATCTTACTTATTTTATCTAAAGTATCTAAAGTATTATCTTATCTAAAGCTTACTTATCTAAAGTATATGGGAAGTGTCAGCCTAGCCAGGATATATGGCAGTGAAGTTTCCCAAAGACGGATGGAGGTACAACCTTTTAGACTCATCTGGACACGGAGTTGAAGCTGTTAGGATTTTAGATCAATTGATCAGATTATTGATAAACTTAAATTTCTCTCTCCTCTTCAACTGGCCTTATATTCTTTAAATCAAGCAATCTACACATAGCCTTGTCTGGTTTATGCAGATTAGAGCTCATCTCAGCCAAGTGCACCTCATCAATGTCAATGTTGACCTCTATATAGTATGGCCACCGAGAATGCAGCACATAGGATATGAGGCATAAACATTGTTCCCTTTATCATCCTCAGCCTCCCAAACTGACACAACTAGCTCCAAATATTTTCTTATATTAAGTGCTCAGAAACTAGCAAAAAAAAAAGTTAATGTTTGTGAATGGTAAGAAAGATACAAAATTCCATTTTGGTTCTATTAAGTTATTAGACCTCTAAGTGGAGGTTTCTAATGAGTCCTGCATGTCTGATTCTGGGGTTGAAGGGTCTGGGCTCAAAGGTTCAGGCTATAGGGCAGAGATTTGGGGAATAAGGATAGCGTTTACAGTTCCAGAATTGGAGGAGATCACCAAACAAATGAGTGTCAGTAGAAATGACAGGGGCACCTGGGTGTCTCAGTCACTTGAGCATCTGTGACTCTTGGTTTTGGCTCAGGTCATCATCTTCTGGGTCCTAAGATCGAGACCCGCCTCCGCTCTGTGCTCAGTGGGGAGTCTGCTTGAGGATTCTCTCCCTCCGCCCCCCAGTTGATGCGCACAGGAGCACTCTCTCTCTCTCTCAAAAATAAATAAGTAAATCTTAAAAACCAAAAGAAAGGACAGAATATTTGAGCACTGAGTTCTGAGATACCCAACACTTAGGAGAAAGAAGAAGAATCACCACGCCAGGCTGCGGAAAGAAGCTAGTGAATTAGAAGGAAAACCAGGAGAGACTGGAGTCACTGAAGATGAGTGAAAAAGGGTTTCAGAAATGGGGGGAGGAGCGACGGTGTGCAATGGTGCCTGTGGGTCAAATAAGTTGAGGAGTGAACCTTGACCACTGCATACAACAACGGGGAGGTTGTTGGTGACCTTGATAGGAGGAGCTTCTTGGGAATAGAGATGAATTGTGCAGCTAGTGGGTCTGCCTTGGTCATCTCAAACCTCAGATGACTGGCAGACAAATAATAGCCTCCAAGTACCTGCCCCTTCCCCCACAATATCTGAACAACGTCCATGTGGGAATTTCGTCGTCATGATCTCGGGCTTTGCTGCTCTCCAGGTGTGGGCTGCAGTCCCTGCTACTTCAGGGAGGTCTTTAGAAATGCAGCATCTGGGAAAGAGTAGCCCAGAGCAGATACTGTTTGGGGGGCAGGTGAAATTTACTGGAAAAAATTGTATAATTGCTTCTGATTCTACTCTCTGGAGATAATCATTATTAACATTTGCTAGGATCTGGAGATAATCATTATTAACATTTACTAGGTACATCCTTCAGGGTTTTTTCCTATGCATGATTTTGCATATATGGCTATTTTTCTTTCTATAAAATGGTATTACTGGATATATTGTTTTATATCCTGCATATTTCATGTAGAATTATATTGTTCACATTTTCCCATGTCGACAAATATTCTTCCATGGCTTAAAAAAAAGAAAGAAAGAAAGAAAGAAAGAAAGAAAGAAAGAAAGGCAACATCTAGAGCCCCACCCCAGACCTCTTGAATCAGAATCTGTGTTTTCACCAGATCTATCACCAAATGACTCATAAGCATGTTAAAGTTCAACATGCACTCATCCGTGACCTTTGTAGCTATCTCTTGCTGCCAGCAACCTGCCTTCTACAAGTCTCTGCATCAAGCATTCTTTAACAAATTAAAAAACAAAATAACTTCTATATACAGAGAGGGAGAGTATATAGTAGGATCTAGAGTAGAGAAAATAAAACCCTGTTGGAATTATAGTGACTATATGATTTACATGCAGTATATTCTTTTTTTTTTTCTGTAAACGTAGTCCATTTTTTGTAATGAAAAGAATATTGGCTTTGTAAAACAAATTTGGATTCTAATTCTGGTTCTGGTAGTTATTTCAGGTATAACCTCAGGCTTGTTAGTGAAATACTCTCATCTTCAATTTTCTCCTCTTTATAAGGGGCATAGTGCCTTCTAGTGTTTTAAGTATTCAGACAAAGGGGTGTTTATCAAACATCTAAAAGATTATGTGGCACATGATAGATGCTTCCTAAAGAGAAGCTGTTATTTTTTAATTGTTTCACGTAGGGTATGTAGAATTGTGTAATTCCTTAGTCTGTCTCGAAATAATTTGGAAGAGCAGAAAGCATAAGACGGATACTCGAGTGGCTGTTTCATGAGCTCCCCACTTACTGCATAAACCTAGGCTCAGTACCTCACTTTTCATATCTGTAAAATGGATATAGTTGAATTAGATAATTTCAGATTTCCTTTCCACTGCCACGTGTCCTTGATTCCAGATGAGAATTATCTTATGCTCTAAGTGTATTTTCAGTGGGCTAGAGTTTATACTGAGTTTATACTGGCAATAACATTCAGTTCTGACATCTCTGGAAATTTTATATGGGGTGATTACAGTGCAGCATCATTGAATGTTGAATATTACATATGGTAACTATTAAGCCTGATTATATTAGTTTATAATACAATACAATCAAAATGTACTTATGTCTGCAATTTAAATAAAAAAGGAAAAAAATTGGTCCAGTAGATATTATTTATCTCCTAAAAAGGACTTAATGGTACATATAAATTATAGGAAATAGAATAGTATAAAATATGTACCACTACCTTTTTTTTTAAGATTTTATTTATTTATTTGACAGACAGAGATCATAAGTAGGCAGCAGAGAGGCAGGCAGAGAGAGAGAGGGGGAAGCAGTTTCCCTGCTGAGCAGAGAGCCCGATGTGGGGCTTGATCCCAGGACCCTGAGATCCTGGCTTTAACCCACTGAGCCACCAGGTGCCCCTACTTTTTTTTTTTTTTTATAATAATCTAATCAATTTTGAGCAAATACGGAGGAAGCTACTTCATCTAGAATTCCGCATTGATATTTGAAATTCAAAATACAGTATTTTCTTTGTGTTGAGCTGAATCTTTTTTGGTATATGTAATAGTGAGTGATAATTAATTGTTGTCAAATTTGTAGAGGAAAAGAATAGTCAGATTGAGGATTTTCGTGTTTTTCATTTCAGCACTGTCAAAACATTGAAAATGGCTCTGATTCTGAAATGGACCCCTCTTGTGGCCATTTAGATCTGCTCATGGAAAGGATGAAAGGAAAGGAAGAGCAGCTCTTAGAAATGAACAAAGAAAATGACATATTGAAAATCAAGGTATGGTTAACTGGAGAATTTTTTTTTTTTTTTAGATTTTATTTATTTTTTATTTTGGGAGAGAGTGAGGAGGGGCAAGAGGAAAGGGAGAGACACACTCTCAAGCAGATTCCTTGCTGAACGTGGAACCTGACGTGGGGCTCAACTTCACAACCCTGATACCACAACCTGAGCCAAAACCAGGATTTGGATGCTTAACTGACTGAGCCACCCAGTTGCCCCATTAGGAGAAATTTCTAATTTTGTATTTTTGAGCCAATAAGATAGTTTCATGGATGTGTAAAAGCAGACAGACTTCCTTATACATCCACAGATCCACACGGATGCTCATCCACATAGAGAAACATTTTCCATTTCATAAATTAAAATCTCACTGTTTTATTTTGGAGATGATGTTTACTATTGAAAAGATTTTACAAAAGTTCAGTGGATACAGTTTCAGTTGTACAAGATGAATCCATTCCAGAGATCTTTGTTGTGCCTACAGTTAATGCCATGTCTTACACTGAAAAATGTGTTAGGAGGGTCAGTTAACTGTTCTTACTAAATAATTTTAAGTCTTTCATGTTTAATTAATATTAATTAGAGCACTCAACGTCAAATGTCTCATCATTTTATTTAATTAATCTATTCTTGGATGCTTTATTTTTAGTTTGTTTGTTTGTTATGTAGGCAGTCCTGCAATGAATAGCTCTGTAGGTAAATCTTTGTGGCCATTCTTGATTATTTCTTTAGGTTAAGTCCTTTGAGAAATTCATGACACTTGCCCTTAATCTTCACATCTTGTCCCATGGCTAATTTAGGAAAATACATCTCTTAGTACTGTTGCGGATATCAATGATACAACGCAAATAAGTGTATAAGCTGAGAAGGCACTGTGCAGTCTTTGAAGGGTGCAGTTTATAAACGCAGGGCATTGACTTGGAGCTGTGGATTGGCCTGGCCAGTCACCATGCAAATCCTTCTGCACGACAGTTTTCCTAAATAGGACATTTCTCATTGTACATTTTCCTCTTACCAGATCATTTCTCTGCTCTATGGTCTAGGAGGGTGCAAATGGTACAGTTACAACCTGTTTTCTACCCCTTATCAAACTGTTCTGTCCTTAACCCATTTTTGCTGTAAATGTCAAAACATTCATGACCTCTCTTCCCAGCTGGAAGCCTCCAGACAAGCAGGAGCAGCAGCTCTGAGAAACATGGCCCACAGGTTATTTGAAATCTACCAGACACAGTCTGAAGAAGTTAGAAAGAACCATGAGGCTGGTAAACACTTACTGGAGGTAGGGAGCTAGCCCCATGTCAATGGGAAAACAAACACATGTAACCATTCTAGGAATACTAATATCTCATTAATTCTACATGGCTTCAGTGTTGTTGCAGCCCATTGGGTTTGTTTTGAAAGAAACCCAAAATTCAAAAGGGTAATTTCAATCAAGTGTGAATTATTAAATTTTTTTTTGGCTACTCAGCATTACAGAGCAAGAAAATATCTGTGTAAATTTAATAAAAGCAAGAGTTTGACAGTTGTTTTTCTGACCAAAGGTTAACAAACTTGAAAAGGAACAGCAATTGAAACAACATGTTGAAAATCTGAATCAAGTTGCTGAAAAGCTTGAAGAAAAACATAAGCAAATCACAGAGCTGGAGAACCTTGTAGAGAGGATGGAAAAGGTGAGCTCCTGGGGATATAAAGGAATTTCTTCTGGATAGGGTTAGGGAGAGAATGAAAGAAAGTAACACTAAAATAAAGATATATGTGTGTGTGTGTATATATATGTGTATACATATATATACATATATACATATATATGTATACACATATATATACACACACACACATATATATACATTTATAGTTATATCTATATATATTTATATATGTTATATGTATGTTATATATGTTATTTATATAGTATATAAATATAATTTACAAACTTATATAATTAAATATATTTGTATAATTATATATATATTTGTAAAGATTTTTAAAATTTATTTGACAGAGAGAGACACAGTGAGAGAGAGAACACAAGCAGGGGGAGTGGAAGAGGGAGAAGCAGACTCCCCACCAAGCAGGGAGCCCGATGTGGGGCTCGATACTAGGACCCTGGGATCATGACCTGAGCCAAAGGCAGACCCTTAACGACTGAGCCACCAAGAGCCCCATAATATATATATTTTAGAGAGAAATTATGTATGCTAAAGCGAGCAGTGGGAGGGGAGGGGTGGGGCAGAAGGAGAGGGAGAGGGAGAATCTCAAGCAGACCCTCTGCTGACTGTAGAGCCCAACAGGGTCTTGATTTCATGACCCTGAGATCATGATCTGAGCCAAGATCAAGAGCAGGATGCACAACCAATGAGCCACCCGGGCACCCCTAGAATAAGTGAGATGTTAATTGAAAGTAAGTATTCTTTGCAACTGCTGAGACTGCAGGAAGTACTCAATAATGTTAGTTCCTCCTCTGACACACTTAGAATGACCTGAACAGTCACTGGTTGACTGCTCTACAAATACTGCGGTCATATCATCCTCTGTCACTTTCTCTAGTGCATGTCTGCCTTAGAAAGGGGACGTGCATGAGGCTGCGAGTAGAAACAATGGGAACCATCACAAGCCCATCTACTACTAGTCATCATACAGTGGATCCCTGTAATCACAGCAGTCCTACGTATTAGGGTCAGGGATGTAGTCAAACACTGGCTGCCCGAGTTCACTTTAGGGTTGCGAATACCTATGGCGCATTAGAACAGATATAATTCACATTAAGAAAAGACATCCTGGGGGCGCCTGGGTGGCTCTGTGGGTTGGGCCTCTGCCTTCAGCTCAGGTCATGATCTCAGGGTCCTGGGATGGAGCCCCACATCGGGCTCCCTGCTCGGTGGGGAGCCTGCTTCCCCCTCTCTCTCTGCCTGCCTCTCTGCCTGCTTGTGATCTCTCTCTCTCTCTGTCAAATAAATACATATAATCTTAAAAGAAAAGAAAAGACCTCCTGTAGGAATTAGCACTTCCACAAGAGACAATTTAGAGAAGAGTTGGGACAGAGCAAAAAATTCTTAAAAACTTCATGCAGCGTGCCTTTGAGGGGCTGACACTCCAAATATATGCAAATGGTGAGCCCATCCATTAAATAACGCATCCGTTAGAATTTAGAATACAAACAAACCGAGGAATACTGGGGTTTTAGTGGCAAACTAATAGAAAACTGGGCTCTCTGAAACTGAATTTGGGGTAGATAAGAATATA